TGTTAAGCACCTTCTGCTCCTCCTCGCTCTCAAATCCTTCAGATAAAAGGTTACGTGCCTCAAATTCTTTTCACAAAGGCAAAGACGATGCATGGCAAAACAACCTGTTGAAAGTGGCAATTTAGAGCCTCGAAGAAACTAGAGGCAGGCTCAGCGGGCTGCAGACAAAGCCTGATAAGCAAAATGGACAGCAGCCAGTAAGAGAACTAAATCAGGACTTGACAATCAGCAAGGGAACACCAAAAGTGATCTACTCAGTGTCTACCCATAGAGACTGAGGTCATCGCACATATTCTGAGTGCAGATAAAGCAAGACATCATGCTCTTGTGCAAGTCACTGCACACGTCAAGAGGACCATTAATAAGACTTCCACTCCCAAAGTCTTGCTGCTGGGACATCGTTCATGCTGTATATGGTAACAGGAGGATTTTGGGGTGCTTTATAGCCTGCCCGCCCACTCAAGAAATGCTTTGAATTGACTGAAGTCTATCTATCTAGAATTAAAATCCATAGCTACCTATGACCTAAAAGGCCATCTTTCATCACTTGTAAGAGAACATCTTCCTCCACGAGAGGAACATCAATACGTACTGGATCCAGGCCTGTCAACTTCGCGGACAATGTGGGTCATCCCAGCTTTGTACCCCAGGAAAGCAGTGAGGTGGACAGGCTTGCTGGGGTCATCTTTGGGGAAGCTCTTCACCTTGCCCCTGTGCCTGCTACTGCGCTTGCGGGGCAGGAAGCCCAGAGACCCATGCCTGGGAGCTGAGAACTTGCGGTGAGACTGGAAAAAAAAGAAAATAAATATTTAATGCCTGCTTCAAGGATTCACTTAACCCCATCTGAGGGCCAGCTGCCAGCTCTTATCTTTAGTGAAAACTATATATAGTGAAAGACTTTTTACATTCTTAAAATTCTTCTCAGTATCAACTGCTTGGCTTCTGAAATCCATTATAATATTAGAATATAGTTTTTATTCCTTAACTACGCTTTTCCTAGTTTCCTCAATGTCCTGTTTCAGGCTCATTTTAAGAAACCACGGACTCGTTATGGAGACACACGTGCTATAACGTGGTCACAGGACACCACACGGATTTCAGTACACCCTGTAGTCTAGGGATAAAGAAGCACAAATAACCTTACAATATTTCAATAAAAGCCCCACAAAGACTTAATAATTCCCCGTGGGTAACACGCAGCCCCCCTCCCACCTCAGTTTAAGCAGAATCCCCCCGTTAAAAGCATCGCGACAAGCAGCAATGGAGGAAGCCCTTTCAGAAGGAATCCCCACAGAAGCCGCGCTAAGCAGAGCGGCTCTGGAGCCATCCCAAACCATTTCCCCCATCAGCGCCCCCCGCCGCCCCCCGGCCCCAAAATGAGCCCGGCGCCGCCTCGCTGAGGAGCAGAGGCGCAGCGGGATGGCGGCCGGGAGGCTGCCGGGGCCGGGATGGCGGCGATGGGCGGCGGATGGTGCAGCCAGGCCGCTGCGGGCCGCCATCGGCACCCACCATCTTGTCCCCGCGCCGCGCCGGAAGGGCCGGGCCACCCCGCGCCAGCCGTACTTGTAGGCGGCCCGCCCCCCGCCATGGGGCCGGGCTCTCGCGAGTGCGGGAGCAAAATGGCGGCGGGGGAGGGACCGGCGGCCATTTTGGGCATGGTAGCATAGGGGGATGGGGATGGGGGACCCGCTTTGTCGCCCCCCTGAGGGGACATCTGAGCTCGGCCACCCATCCCCGTAGGGTTTGGGGTGGGGACAGCACTGCCATGAGTCCCCTGCTCCTCGCCTGGCATTGAGGGTGGCAGCCGCAGGTGGTACAAAAACCTGAGGCAGCGGGCACAGCGCTGTTTGCAGTCTCCTCAAGCACACTCAGCATACAATACAAAGATTTTTTCAAAAAAGACAAACAAAATTTAAAAATACCACTATAAGCAACACCAAAACGTGCTTATAGCTGAAGGAAAACACACGGTAGGTATCAGTGGGTGCCTCACTACATTCCTGTTTTTTAAGTTGTCTGCCAACCTAAACTAGAGTGGAAGGACCAAGGCAGAGGCGGGCTCGGCTCTGCTTACAGAAAGCTGCCCACGGTTGTCACAACATCGTCAAGTTTGGCTAGCCAGATCAGAAATCTGAATTGGCTGAATTTTGTGAATTAGTTTAGGATGCGTTTGGTTGTCTTCCTTAGTGCCATGTGCTGAATGTGCTGGGCAGCCAACACTGAAGGCCTTAGGTAAGAGAAAGTGCATTGAAACAATTAAATCTTTCCTGGAATGAAGCTTCTGAGATGGAACCAGGAAAATATTACCTATTAAATGCCTTTCTTGAAAGTGTAAGTGCATACACTTCCAAGTAATAACAGGCAACGTTATCCTTTAGTCTTAAGAAAACAAAATTAATGGGGGGTACATAATAAAACACATGCAACTTCTTACATAACTCTTTGGTTGTGTCATTTATTACGTTGTCCAGTACAATATCCCAGTGTCATCTTTCAGATGTACATAGTGCTAGAGAGTGTGTAGCACTGCAGTCAACCTTCTCTTTTTTTTTCTTTCTACAAAAAAAAACAAACAACACAATATTCTTACTCAAAGCTGTGAGCGAATGCATGCTTCAGCAGAAAATCCTGACATAATATGTAGCTGTTTTTATTAAAAAGCTCCATAGTCATAGGGAACTGTAATGACTCAAAACACGCTTGACAAATCTTCACTTTAAAAAAGATATTAGACAACGTGAAAAAACACGGTAACAACAAAGAAATGAAAACACACTATTTAAAAATTAATAAGCTAAAATAGGTTTTACTGCTAACATTGGCATCTGTTTTGCTTATATGCATATCTCAAAACATCAAAAGACATCAAATGAATTATTTCTTGCAGGGACACGTTCTCAAGCGGATTGCGTGTTCTTCAGGGACTGTGTCCCACTGTCTCTTTCCATGGTGCTTGGTACAACACAGCTCCAAATTCAATTAGGGCCCCTCTGGCTGCTGCTGAATTAATAATAAACAATAACAGCAATGTAAGTGATAAAGTTATGCTGTGACAAGGAAACCAAAAATAAGACTTATGGTGGAACCTGTCGGAGATCTTGTCAGTTATGCTATTCACGCGTTATTTCTCTTGCTCCACGTACAACCGCTCTCGGCATAGCAATAAGCGCCACGAAGACAAGCTCTGTCACGGGGTGATGCTGGAAGTGCTCATGTCCGTGGCTTGCTTACGCAGGAGCTTGCACAGAAACATCTCTTTAGCATAGGGGCGAAGCAGAGATGAAACCTGAGCAGGGGGGGAGCTGAAGGACGGCAGATAAATTATTCACTCTCCTTCCTTTGGCACAAGGAAATCGGATAGGACCAGACCAAAGAAACTCTCTCAGACTTCTCTAGACCTGAAATTGCGTGAGTGCCATTGCAGGATAACTGATTTGACACACGACTCCAGCTGAGACATGCCCTGAAGCGTCTCTGAGCCCCAGTGCGGGGTTGTAGCACTTTCCCTCAGTGTCAGCAAGCAGAGCCCTGGCATCCATTGGAGTTTCCTTTTTTAATCCTGAGGGATACACAGACAGCAGGAGCCAGTCACTAATTAAAGTAATAAAAGTCAGTTTGTTTGTGGTTTTCACGCTTTTTACATATTTAAGAGATTCAGGAGGACACCTAGCCAGGTGGACGATAAACCAGCACAGCTGGGAGCATCCAGGAGGCCCTTGGCACTGTGGGGAGATCAGGGCAAAGCCCTGTGCTGGCAGTGTCCCCAGGGCCGGACACCTCCTCCGTACAGCACACGAAGCCATCCGAATTCCCACTGCTGGGATGCTGATCGGTGCAGCGGAAGGGCTGCATGTTACGATTGTATCAAGTTACTGCAAACATTAATGAAATAGTTGAAGCAAACACCTTCCAACAGAGCCAAATCCCGCTGCCAGCTGTGCAGGTGTAGCTGAGAGCTAAGGTGTTCAGTGCAGGAAGGCAACTTATGCATCTAGTGTGAAAGAAAAAAAAAGGGGGATGCTCTGTTTGGAGGCCCCTTACGGATGTTTTGTGAGGAGGATATTTCATTGCCTGCCTGAATGTGGGGCAGGAAGGCTGAGGGTCTGGCCATGCAGCTCATCTTCCCGAACATGTGAAGTGGGATGTGAAGTGGGACTGTCCATCCTCTGTCTGTCCCCAACCTGCCCCACGACAAGGAGCAATAGCTGCTCACAGCTATTGCAATTGGGCAACCAAAGGCCGGGCTTTAATTGCTCATTTATCTCCCCTAGGCTTGCCTCTAGCTCCTACACTTGGCTCTGGCGTTGCAGGGCTGGGTCACAGACTGCCAATAAAACAAATTCAAGCTTGGGCAGGACGAAGAGGTGCCGGAGCGAGCTGAGCACGTTCCCCACGGAACCGGTCTGCAACCTGCTGGTTGTGTTGCTTTGTCAGCCTTTGAGCTCAGTTTTTTAGCAATAAGGAGCCAGAGACATCCCGTGGTTTGCCTGGTGGTGTGGAGCAAAGCTGGGCTTTGGCCGTGCCCAAGCTGGCCTCAATACCAGGCAGCCTCAGATGTCACCCCGACGTGGTGTTCCTCACCTAATCACTTCTTCAGGATGGAAACCACGGTGTGGGCACCTCGATGGAGGATGCGACGTCCCCTAGGTGCCCCTTGGAGCATCCCCAAACCTCACCCTGGCCCCTTGGGATGGGGCTGCCGTGCGCTTTGCACTCCTGGGCTGGAGCCAGCCGGGTACCTTCATCAGGGAGCACCTCCTGGAGAGCCTCAAACCCCAAATATCAGTGGGGTCGTGCCAGTAACGCGGTCACACGTGGGACCACAGGATGGGAGCCACCGGGGATGCTCCGCAGCCTCACCCACGCGCCCTGCACCACCTCCCACTGAAAATAAATAAATAAATAAATAAAAAATACAAAAAAAAAAAAAAAAAAACACACATGGAGGGGGAGGAGGGGAGGGAAGGGGGAGCGCTCCCGCGCGGCGCGCCCCCGCGGCGGCGGCGTGAACGCGCCCGGCTCGTGCCCGCGGGCGCGGCGCTGCCCGGCTCGGCTCGGCGCGGCTCGGCACGGCCCCGCCATGGACGGGGGCGCCTTCGGAGCGGGGAAAGCCGGCGGCGCCTTCGACCCGCAGGCCTTCCTCCGGCAGCCGCACACCTTGCTGCGGCTCCTCTCCTGGGTGAGCCCGGCGTGGGGACCGGGATGGGAACGGAGCTGGGAACGGGTTGGGAACGGGACGGGCTCGGGGGAGACCCCCCCCCCCTCTCCAGGCTGCAGGGCTGGCAGGCGGCACGGTGCTCACCCCCCCTGCACATGCACACCTATATATATCCATATATATAGGTTATATATACATACACCCTTATTCTCTCGCTATACAATACCCTTCCCATATGCTAGATCCTCTAAATCGCTGCCTGTGCTGTACATTGCGTAATATATCCCATTATTCCCACTGGGACGGCTCTCTGCGTGGTGCTATAATATTATCCATGAGCTATCCGCTGCCTGCACCTCTGGGGGTACGCACCGCTGCGCCTCCCCGCACACCTCCCCCTGCACACACATCCAGGGCTACGCGTGTTTGGCTATCTCCTGTGGCCATATTTCCATGTATAACACATCCACGCGCGTGTATCGCATCGGTGCGTGCACGCAGCCCTCCCTACATCCCTGATATAGCGGGGAGAGCTTTGGGGTCTCGCCCCTGGGGTGATGCCGCAGGGCGTGCGGGGCTTGGCGGTGCCTGGGTGAGCTGCTGGGGGGCTCTGCGCTTCTCCGTCTTGCTTTTCCCTGCAATGTTTGCCCCCCATCCCGCCCTACGCCAGCGCGTCCCCGCAAGAAGGTCATTGGGATTAAGGGAGCGAGCTGCGGCGGGCAGCCGGCGCGGGAGAGATTGAGGTCTGGGCCGGGAGCAGGGGAGGGAGGGCAGGGAGAGGGAGCCGGGGGACACATGCGCACCGAAGGGGGAGGCGCGAGCTGCCTGAAATGGGAAAAAATAAAATAAAAATAAAAATAAAATGCAGCGAGCGGTGCGAGGGGAATGGGGTGGCCGTGGGGGGTGCCGTCCGTCTGTCCGTCTGTCCGCGGGGGTCGTGACTCGAGGGTGGCTGGAGAGCTGCTAGATGGCTGGGGATGGGATTAACGTTTCGGGGGTGGTCTGTCCATCTGTCCATCCGTCCGTCTGTCTGTCCGGGCTTGTTTACAGGGGGACGCCTGACCCCCTTCCCCGAGCGGGCAGAGCGAGGGTGATGGACGCGGGGTGACCTACAAAGGCTCGCCTGCCTCTAATCTCTGGGACAGAATTTCCTCTTTCTCCCTCTCTGCCTTCTTCTTTTTCCTTTCTTATTATTTTTTTTTATTCCCCTCCTCTGTGACTTCATTCGAGCACTGCAGGGTTCTGGCTTCCCAAAGGTGAGGCAGAGAGAGAGCAGGAAATATGGATTTTTTTATTTATTTTTTTTGGGGGGGGTGGCACCTGCTCTGCTCCAGAGTATCTCAGGTGCTGTCGGGTCACCCTCTGAGCTCAGCCCCGTGCTCCCCAGGTTCCCCCAGCAAGGAGCACATCCCTGGGACCAGCCTGTCCCTGCCACCCCACGGTGTTTCCCCATCTCTGTGGGTCTGACCTTGACAGAGGACAGATTGGGATTTACCCCAGGTGCTGTGGGATGGACCTGTGGGAACTCGTGTCCTGATGTAGGAGCTGGAACTGCTGCAGGTCAGCAAGGGACCCGGCATTCACCTTTTTTCTCCCCAACAACAGGTTCCTCCCTGTGCTTTTCCACTGGTTTCATCTGGTCTCTCCTGCTGAGCACCCCTCCCTCCCCACAGCCAGGGGAGGCTGCCCCCAAATATTTAGTCATGATTATTTTTTTTTTCCTCAAAACTTGAGTCCCAGAAAGGTCCTGATGGGTGTTGAAGTCCCGTCTCAGGCTGTCACAAGGGGCCCTTATGGCCCCTTCCATAAATCAGCTGAACTTTGCTCAAAAAAAAATAATGGTTCGTGGTTGTTTCGCCCTTCTCACTCCCTCTGGGAGAGATTTCAGATGCTGAGATGCTCGGGGCCATCAGGGCAAATCTATTCACGGCTGTTTTTTTTTACCCATTTCTTTCCATGCTCTTATGCCCTTCGGTTTCAATGGTGCTGCTCCCTCCCTGCTCTTCTCCCCCGGGTGCATTTACAGGCGGTGAGCGCATCCGCACTTAGCCCACGAGCTGAACCCTTCTGTCGACGAAGGGCTCGTCCTCGCCGTGCTGTCCCAGGAGCCTTCCCTTCCCACCCCAGGACCTAATGGAAACGCTTTGATGCCTCCTCACATCTCACGTGCCTTTCGCCTCGCCGTGGCTAGCCGGAGACTCCTTTTGGCCGGCTGCATGTGACGAGCTTTCACTAAGAGCAGAATATCTTTACGGTGGCTTCCTGAGGCAATGACCTTGTGCTGGGGCCACGCCGTGTTTTAGAAGACAGTCCCGAAACCCGAGTGCGTATGGCATTTTACCAGCGGGCAGCAAAGCTGGCTCGTGCCCACGGGGCTTGCAGCCTGATCCAGGCAGTGCTTTGGTGCTTCGGAGGGCCTGGGGCTGTCCCTGCTGCTGAAATTCCCGGCTTTGAGGGTCCGCAGAAGCTCGTGCCCTCTTCCTCCTCTCCTTCACATGCTTTTTGGTCAGTGGCTGCGTGGTGTTGGCAAGTGATAAAAGGAAAGTGGCCTCTGCTCTGAGCCAAGCTCCAGGCATGGCTCCTCACGAGGTCCCCTTCGCGTGGGGACCCCTTTTTAAGCTCCACTGGGGCTTTTTGGGGTCGGTGCTGGTGGGAGAGGGCAGGCAGTGGATGCACACAGCCCGGGTGCGCTTCGGGGCTGGGTGCAGCAGGTTGTGCTGTGCCCAGCCTGACATGTCCAGGAAAGACCTTGGAGCTCCCAAACGTGGGCAGCAGAAGGGTTAATTGCTGCCAAGCCGGGCGTGAAAAAGAGCTGGCTGGGGAGGAGAGCCTGCTCGGGATCCCAGGGCAGGAATTAAGGATGCAGGAATTAGGGATGTGGAGCCTCTCCCCCTCCCTGCATCACCTGCTCCAGCTCAGCCCCGGGGAAACCGGTGCCATGTGGCTGGCGGCCAGGGAAAGGGGCTGGGGGTTAACGCCACCTGTTTTGGGGGAATTTAGGGCTGTGTCCCCCCTGCCAGCACGGGGGGGATGCCCCAGGGTCAGGGCTCGTCAGGACAGCGCTGTGCGTGCAGTGCCAGCAGCGGGGGACAAACAGAGGCCTCCTGCTTCCCAGCTGCTGGTCCCACGCGTACCAAAAGCTGTGTGTTTTCTTCAAAATGAGCTAAACACACGGAGATTTAACGATGATGATGATGATAATAATAATCCAGGGCTGTGCAGGGCTCTCCAAAGCTTTCCAGAAACCGCGGCTGAACGCAAATGAAAACCCCCTCATCTCTGCCAGGCCGGCATTTGATATCTCCCTTGTCCTCGCATTTTTAAATAGATTTATTCCTGGTTGCTGCCAGATCAGGCACAGGAGAGGTTATTGCCTCCTTCTGCCCGAGATGGATTTGATTTGAAGTCCCGCAAGCCATATTATGTCCCCAAACCGTTTCCTTTCCCTAATGGAATAAAACGGAGGGGCTGGGGAGGGGGAGAGGAAGCAGGCAGGGCAGCAGAGCCCACGGCCGCAAGCCAAAGCAGCCTCATCCCTGATAAAAGGCCCTGGTGGGGATTTTAGGGAAGGACTTATGGCAAATTCCTGGGAGGAGGTGCAGGAAAATCCTAGCACAGCGCCCGGAGGCCCATCACATGATGCCCGGGGCTGGGGATGGGCAGCGCGCTGGGGACCTCACATGATGCTCAGGAGTTTGTGCCTGGCCGGAGCAGATTTCTGGGGCCAGAAAAAAGAGGTCTTTCATGGGGGGGATGTGGTTTTCTGTCCGCTCGGCACGTTGTAAGCCTTCACACCCCTGTAACAGCCCCTGGGAAAGCGGGGCAGGAAAACTCTCAGCCTCCCCCCGCCTCGTCCCACAGTGCCCTAGCATTACGTTCATTTTTTTTTCAGCTTCTCCAGGTGCCTCAGTTAAAACACACGAACGGGCACCTCCAAAGAGCTGTCACACCTGCCCGGCTGGTGTTGCTCCCGGAGGCCTAAGGAAACCTGCCCAACCTAAAAATCCGGTTACTTTAAGCCCCGTCGAGTTTCTTGAACAGCCTCGCCGAAGAAATGAGGCCACCCCAAAAGCAAAACGCCTGCCTGGTTGTCGCGACCACGCACAGGGAAGGAGCAGGGGAGAGGTCCCCAACAAGAGCGCTGTGCTGCTGCGGGTTAAATATTCAGCAGTTCAGCCTCCTGCTGGGAAATTTCGGGGGGTGGGGGTGTCCCTCTGGTCTTGGGCACTCAACTGTTCCTTTAGGAAGTGCTGATGCAGGCAGGTGTGAAGGGACAGAGGCGAAAAGGAATTATTCTGCTGCTTGTGCTCGGTGAGAGCCCTTCCAGGTCAGCGGCAAACCAGGAGATAAGAGCCCAGAGAGGACGTGTATCATGGTAGGAACAGAGTAACCAGAGGCGTCTCCGGGGGGAGGCTGTTGCAGAAGTTCACTCATCCCAAAATGAGCAAGCAGAGACTCAATACGGAGTGTTGCAAGGCTTGACCTGACTCAGGGAGTTGACACTTTACCATTATTGAGCCCTGAAGCAAAAATGAACAGCAGGCTAAGCCTCTTTTGAGGCTATTTCTCATCTTCCAGGTGAAGCTCTGCTTTCCATCTAAGGCTGCAGAAAGCCAGGCACTCGCTTTGTAACCTCAATATCAGGAGGGTGTTTCAGGTGGCAGTGTCAGCCCTGGCAGCACCTGGGCTTCACTTTGAGCAGTCTCTTGGCCCTCCGGTAGGTCGGAGGAATACAGCACGTACAGCCCAGCCTGCCATTAACTGCAGGAGACCTCCTGCTGAAAGACCCCGCGTGTAACTGTCTGCCACTTGCTGCCTTCCTAAACCCCTCAGACTGAAATCTCGAGGACCAGACCTTTGCTTTGGGCGTAAGAGGTTTTTATCGGCTTGTGTTTTTCATGGGCAGTTTGAGCAAAGTGTGATCAATTTTGATTTTCAAGGAGGAGGAAGAGGAGGAGAAATCAGCTGTTTTATCTCCTATCTTTAAAACCTCTTTCTGACTTTCAGAGAACCCATTCAGTCCCGATGCTTAGGGGCACCACCTCCCAGCTTTGTTGGACTGCAGCGGTGTGTCAAAAACACGCTCGACATCAGCCACACACGCGGGACCAAATTATGAGCTTTTGAGTGAAAAAATTATACTGGTGTTAGTAGATACATGTTAGAGCTTGGCAGCTGAAACGTGGACACCGTTGAGGGCTGTCAGGGTTGCTCTTGATGCTCTCGGTCAAACAGCAGAGCTCTGGACTGTGGGACTGGGGCATCCTCCAAGGGTCTCGAGATGCCCTGCAAAGAAAAACCTGCAAGTGCCACCTTCATCTTCCTCTCCTCCTCCTGCGGCTGCTGTTTGGTTGAGATGAAGGACTGGGGCTGCCGTAAATACCTCTCTGCCACGATGAGCTTGCCGTGTCAGAGAGGGCTGGCCTTGCGGCAGGTGACAAAGGCTAAGTCGGTGAGCGAAGATTAAACTGGCGGCTGCGGATTAGGGCCTTCCTACCTGGCCTCATCCTTAATTCTGCCTGGTTTAAAATAACACACGGCAGGTAGGGAGTGCTGATGGGGGCCCTTCTCCTGCAGCTGTGATCAGATTTTGGCGTTAGCCGCGGTGACGGCGAGTGCAAGAGGCAGAAATCTTGCAAAAGCTGATCCCGGCAGTAAATGGGCAGGGGAGCAAGAGATGTGGTGAGCTGGGAAGAGAGGAGAAGGAGGGAAGGTACCCATCCTCTTAGATCTTCTAAATGGCTGTAAGAGGTGATAAAATGCTTTTAAAAAGAAGTAAAAAAGCCCAAGCAGAGGGGCAGAAGATGTGCAAGGGGGTGGGGAGAGCGGGAGCCCAGCAGGTCAGCAGGAGGAGCTGGGGCTGTGGGAGGGCGAATGGGGAAAAGAGCTCGGCAGCTTCATGGATAAAATTGGAGAACAAATGCGTGGTGGAAACAATGACTTCCTAGAAGGGAAAGGAGTGGGTAGGAGGAAAAGTGCAAAGTAAGCAGATTGCTGCTGCTGGTAGCTCCTGCACGCAGGCGCCCGCGCCAAAGCCTTATCCGAATTCACACTCCACGTCACCTCCCCATGTGTCCACGGGAAGCCGCCCTTCCTCCGGGCTGAGGCTGCTTTACATCTGTTTGGATCAAATGGATGAAAAAAAAAAAAAAATGCATCCAGAAGTGCCCTATTTTGAGCTAATCCTCCAAAATAAAATACAACTCCCCAAGGCCACGGTCCAGGCGAGGCTGTGGGACAGGAGTGATGCTGGTGGAGAGCGGCCACGCTTGCAGGAGCTGGTCCAGAGGGGGCTCGCCCTGATGTGCCTCCCACCTCTTTCCCCCTCCAGGTGTTCTCCATCGTGGTGTTTGGCTCCATCGTCAATGAAGGGTACGTGAACCGCGTGGACGACTCGCAGGAGCACTGCATTTTCAACCGCAACCGCAACGCCTGCAACTATGGCATCACCGTGGGCGTCCTCGCCTTCCTCAGCTGCCTTCTCTACCTGGCTCTGGATGCCTACTTCCCGCAGATCAGCAGCGTCAAGGACCGCAAGAAGGCAGTGCTCTCCGACATCGGTGTCTCGGGTGAGCTTCCTGGCACAGCGCTGCTCTGCTCCTCCCCACCAGGTGCCAACCTGGACGCCCAGCTCCCTGCTACCGAGCCCCTTTCCCATCCCCTGTCCCCAGTATTGAGGATATCTCAGCAGCTTTCCTCAGGATAAGGGCTTTCATCGCTGCTGAGCTAAGCAGAGGCCAGTTGTGCGCCTGCGGGCTGGCTGCTCCTCCTGCGGCTCCCTTGGAAGGAGCTGCTCTTCACTCGTCCTTGCAGGACAGGGTCGTGAAGCTGTGGTGGTTGCTCTTGTACTGAGAGCCAAAGTGCAGGTCCTGTGATCAATCCAAGCACAAGCAAACAAAACCTCCTCCCGCTGACTCTCCTGAGGTACCTTCTGCAGGCACCTATCGTCACCTTGATGGTTTAGGTGTCTGTGAACCTGCTCACTGAGCTTAGAAAGCCTGCACAGGCTGAATTTGGCCCAGCCTGCAGTGCACTGGTGGGTCTCGTCGGGTTGCAGTTTCCAGAGAAACGCGATGTGTTTGTGATTTGCCCTTACATGCCTTCTTGATCTCTCTCCCCTTCCCCTTTGGCGTGCTGCTGGTGGCCCATCCCAGCCTTTTGGGCATTCCTGTGGTTCGTTGGCTTCTGCTTTCTGACCAACCAGTGGCAAGCTTCCAAAGCAGAGGACAACCCGATGAACGAGGGAGGGGATGCAGCCCGAGCAGCCATCACCTTCTCCTTCTTCTCCATCTTCACCTGGGTGAGTAGAGAAGCCGTGACATCGGATCAAGCGTCCTCTGCAGCGTGTTAGCCTGTGGGGAATGGGAGGTGGGTGGCTCTGGGATCCCAGAAGGAAAAGCAGGAGGAGAGGTTGCTGAAAGGGAAACCTGGTGTGGTGGTTTCACACTGATGGCTCTGCCATGCTGCTCTATCACTCCCCGTCCCAAAAGGAACAGGGGCAGAAAATATGACAGTAAACGCCTCATGGGTTGAGATAGGACAGGGAGATCACTCACCAAGAGCTGTCGTGGGCAAGACAGACTCAGCATGGGAAAATTAATATAATTTATTACCTACTGCTAGTAGGTTAGAGCAGAGAGAACTAGTACCATGGGGTCCATCCATCCCCCAGGAGCAAACTGCTCCAGCACAGGTCCCCCACAGGCAGCAGCTCCCCCCAGACCCCTGCTCCTGCGGGGGCTCTCCATGGGCCGCAGCCTCCTCCAGGCCACATCCACCTGCTCCACCGGGGGCTCCTCCACCCATGGGGGGGCTGCAGCGTGGAGATCTGCTCCATGGGGGACCCATGGGCTGCAGGGGGACAGCCTGCTCCACCAGGGGCCTCTCCACAGGCCGTAGGGGAGCTGCTGCTGTGTGCCTGGAGCACCTCCTGCCCTCCTGCTGCATGACCTTGGTGCCTGCAGGGCTGCTTCTCTCACATTTCTCACTCCTCTCTCCCAGCTGCTGTCTCACAGCAGATTTGTTTCCCCCTTCCTTAAATCTGCTCTCCCAGAGGCCCAACCAGCGTCTTTCTCTGGCTTGGCTCTGGCCAGCAGTGGGTCCCTTTTGGAGCTGTCTGGAGCTGTCTCTGCCCTGACATGGGGCAGCTGCTGGGCTCTGCTCACAGAAGCCACCCCTGCAGCCCCCCACTACCAAACCCTTGCCACGTAAACCCAATACACCTGGGAAGCAAGGAAACCAGAACGTATGTGGAAGGAGACCTCACAGAGACTCCAGTCAAGAGTGTCCTTGACAAACCTCCAGGATGACCTTGTGCAAGCCAGCCTCCCCAGGCATCATTTCCCCGCACATGAAAGGATTTTAACAGCCCTTTCAGCTCATCGATGCTAAGCAGAGAAGGGAGCTCCAGAACAGGGGTTCAGCGCTCTCCCTTCTTCATCCCATCGCATGAAAATTGCTTGGTGGCCACAAGAGGCTGCGGCCACATCGCTCCCAGCTCTGGGAAAGCAGGCTGCACCCATGACTGCAGCTCCACTCAGGAATGGCTTTTTCAGAAGATGACTGCAGGCTTTTTAGACTTCCCTTTCCCGGCAATCCCTTGTTCCCCATTCAATATAAATCCCCCCTGCAATTCTCATCCCATCTCTGAAAGCACCGAGTCCTCGTAGCTTTATCTCCTGTGTTGGGCAAGGGCTGGTAGGAAGGGTGCCAAAAGGCAACGAAGCTGTCAGAGAGGGAGGGGGGCTGCTAAACGCTGAGCACCAGCCAAAATGACAGCAGGGACCAGGGGCAGCACCGTGACCCCCCCCACAAGCCAAGCCCCTTGCTCAAGTGCTGCCAAGGGCAAGCAGCGGTGTCCCTTGAGCTCCAGCACAAAGTGTTTTGTTTTGTTTTGTTTTTCTTAATTTCAGTCAAATGCTCTGGTTTGTTCTTTCTTACTGATTCTCCTCCCCACACCTCTCTCTCTCCTCACAGGGCTTCCTCACCTTTCTGGGTTTCCGGCGACTCAGGGACATTACTTTTCAGGAGGAATACAACACGCTGTTCCCCAACTCCCCGTCCTTGCTGCCATAGTGCCCCTCACTGGTGGCGAGCCTGGGGGCAGGGACAAGGGGTGCAGATGAAGGAGGCTGTCGAGCAGTCGGCTCCAACGCTCTGACCACGGGCGTTCGCGTGTTCCTCCTCTGCCCCTTCTCTCCCTCACCCGAACTAATGCTGTGTAACACTTGTGCCTTTCTTTTGATGACTGCTCAGACCTAATATTTCAGCCAGGAGATGCCTTCTGCCCCCACCACTGTATCTTCTCCATTCCTCCCAGCCCTCATTCCCCAAACTCTTCCCCGTGGGGCAGTTCATGACCTGCCAAACCGCTCACCTCTGTCGGGGATGCTCTGGGAAGACGAGACGTGCCTGTTGGGGTCTGCGATGCTGAGCCCCATGCCCAGGCTCCCTGCTGGCCACCCCGTTGCAGCTTGTCCCTCTTCTCCTTGCCACGGAGCTGGTGCCTTACGCAGGGCAGCCTGAACCTGGACAGGCGTCGCGCACTAACCCGTAACCACTACTAACCCTCCTTTTGTTTGTTTCTCTCTCTCGGTACGTTCCCCTCTCTCTTTCTCCCGTCCCCTCTCTGCTTCCCGTCTCTCCCCGTCCCCCCTTGAAGGTGGGCCAGGCGTTCCTGGCGTATCAGCGCTTCCGGCTGGGCGCCGACTCGGCCCTCTTCTCCCAGGACTACATGGACCCCAGCCAGGACTCCGGCATGCCTTACGCTCCCTACACGAACGAGGAGGATGCTACGGACGCGGTGGGGACGTACCAGCAGCCTCCTCCGGCAGATGCTTTCGACACCGAGACACAGGGGTACCAAACGCAGAACTACTGAGCCGCCGATGCCCCTTCCCCGGCCCCTTTCCCTTCTGCCCCCTTTCCCACTGCCGGCAGCAAGCCGAGGCACAAACCAGACACGTGCGTAGCGGCACAAGAGGTGGCTCTCAGCTATGCTCCAGCCTTCTGGGTCATCTGTTTTTATTTATTGTATTATTTTTTTTTTTAAAGAAAAAGGGTTCCCCATCGCCTCTTCCCTCTCCTCCCCCCAGAACTACCGGCCAGCACCAACACGTCCCAAAATCTGTCACCGAGGCAGGTCCCCCCCTTTGCTCCTCTCCCTCCTTCAGTGGGGCAGGGGGGAAGGATGCTGGGGGTGGAAGGGAAGAGGTGTTCCTAGGCGAGGCGATGCTGCTCCATGCTGCAGGAGATGCGGGAGCATCCGAATTGGGCCCGAGGGCCTGTTGGCTCAGGGAGGGGAGGGTGGAAGGGGGGGCAGGCTGAGAGCTGGCATGCAGGCGTGCGAGGGTGGAGGGGGGGCTGCATGGAGGGGCGAGGGTGCCCTTCCATTTGAGTGGGGAAATGCTTTATTTTCAGAGGGTTCGGGGGGGAGCGGGAGAGGGGAGGGAGCGCAAAGAGAGAAAACGGGAAGGGCAAGAGGAATATTTGCGGGTACAATCCAAAAAAAATGCAGCTTTTTGTAGATTTTGCTGTTGATGAAAGCAAGGCTTGAGAGAGCAGAGCAGAGGGGCAGTGCCGTGAGAGCTGCTCCTTCCCTTTGGGTTAAGGTGGAGGTGTGTTTCCCCTCATCTGTTTGCCGTTTCACCTGGGCAGGAGGAGGAGAAGGAAGCCAGTTTCATTCCCTGGGTGCTGCTGCAGCCTCCTCCCTTCCTCTGGCACCACCTCGAGCACAGGGGAATGGAGCAGGACCCCCTAGAAAGAAACGTGGCTGCTGTCACACTGGGGGGTCACCGAGCAGTGGAGGGTCTTCCTCCATCCTTGCAAAGTTGGTTTGTGCCAGACCGGGCTCTCTGAAGGCTGCTCCTGCTGTATTTTGCATTTATTATACCTTCGTGCTCCTTCTGCAGCATCTGGTAAGTCTTTAAAGCCTCACCTAGGTGGCAGTAGTGCCTCTCGGATAGAGCTCGTAGGGACAGTACTCCACACTCCTCATGATTTTGCTTCAAGTCAAGACACAGCTCCGGAAGCAGGCTGTTTATTCCGGGATAAAATTAATGTCTGTGCCTAAAGGGAAATAACCGAGCAATAGCCCGACGGGCAGTTTTCTGCACAGACCTCTCAGAGCACAAGTAATGGGGTATGTCCTGAGGAGCTCTATCCCCTGAGCAGCCACCGTGGTCCATGCAACGTTGACCCATGTAGCAGAGATCAGGAGCAGCTCTAGCATCAAGCAGCTCTAGCATCTACAGGTGCTTCACCTGAGCGTTTGGCCCATTCCCTGTAGCATCCCTTGGAGCCAAGAGGATGGGACGCGGGCACGGCCTGTGGTTGTGCAAACATCTCATCTGGAGGACGCTGAGCCTTCCTTCACCCACATCACCAGTCCTCCTAGCACTGCTCTCCAGCTGCCCCACAGCGGTAGAGAAGGGGGAGACAATGTTGAGTTGCAGACCCCAAGAGGGAAGGGGGCACGGTTTCTGCCTGCTCCTACCAGCTTTCAGGAGCTGCTAGACCTCCGCAGGGGTGAGAGGCAAGCCTGTCACTTGCAGCCCCGTGCTGCTGGCTGCTATCCCCACGGCTTGCCCTCCCTTGCTGGTGGTTGCTGATGAAAGGGGAACCAACGAAGCCTGTAGACATGCAAGGAGGGCCTGGGCAAACGTCCTGTGCTCCGTGGCTGCGAGCGAAAGCAATACTGTACATAGGAGGGGTATTTTTCAGAGGGAAGCCCCTCGGGCTTCTTTTATTTTCTGTGGGATCAGCCTAATATTTAGGCTTGGGAGGGGGTTACTTTATTGAGAGAGATTCGTTATGACTGTGGCTGTGGGGGGGAGCTCCCTCCAGTCCATCTCTCCTAAGGGGGGAGTGGAATGAGAGAATAACGAGGTGGAGGAGGAGAAAAACTCGTTGTACTCACCCAGACTCATCCATGTCACCCTTCATGCTTTCATTTTGGGTGTTTGGGGGAAGCCAAGGGGGAGAGGAGGCGGCGGCTATAAATAATCAACCCTCGGCATAAAAATACGTTGTCCGTTCTGGAAGGAATCGCCCATTACCTGCCCCATCTCATCAGGGAGGGGGCGAGGGACCAGGTGCATGAGGTACAGGCCATATGTCGGGGCGGTCTACCTGGGGACCTGTTTTAGGGCGTAGCATGGCCCTACCCCCATCAGAGCTACATAGATGGCTAAACATCATGCGGGGGTGACTCACGAGACAGCTTTCCTTTATCGTCTTTGGCTCGCCTCCCTTGTAACCATCTGATGGCCTCCAGTGGGTTTGAGGTGGGACAAGCCTCCCCCTCAAAATGCAACTTCCAGTGGCATGCGGCCATCTCTGGAGATGGCCCTACCCAAGGGGTTGTTTATCTTATCTTAGGCGCTCCTGATAAGGTGCTTCCTGTTTCTGGTGATCGTAGGCAAGGCCCGGGCAGCTGGCTGGAACATGGCCCTTTTAGCTCCTCAACTTTGGTGAGATCAGTCCCACTCTGGGGATTAGGAGATCAGAGGGAAGGCTACATAAGCAAAATGGTAAGAAGGCTTTCTTGCCGCCATGCCATTTGTCTGGATTACGGAGGATTACGGATCCCCTGCTGGGCGCAACGGCCCATTGATGTCTTATCTTACAAAGCCTCCAAGTAAGGGACTTCCATGAAAGCAGGGGCTGTGACGGGCAAAGGAATGAGGAACCTTTGCCCCACCTCTACCTGTGGCTTCAACCTCTGGACACGTCCCCATGCCCCGTTCTCCCCTGTCCCCAGCACCCAGTCCATCACCTCATTGCACCCCCTTCCCCTCCGCGTTATTCCTGGCAGTTCCCTCAGGGGAGGAGGGCATTTGTGTCCCCACAGCCTCGCGAGCACTTGGGAGGCCCCGGGAAGGCAGCGTAGCGGGATGGCCTCCACAGGAGGCTCGGCTCTGGTCCCCAGAGCGGGTGCGAGGCAAGGAGCCCAGCGAGGCCACCTCGCGCCGTGAGTCCAAACCATCCATCCAAACAACTCCCCGTGGCACCCGTAACGCCACCTGGGCTGCCCTGCCCCTTCCCCTGACACATTACTGCCTGTGTATAGTATATATATTATATATATATATTTCAAAGGATGTATAATATAAAGCTATACATATATACGTATATACGATGACTCGCGGATGGCCTGCTGCATACAGGATCCCCTGAGTGGTCTTGTCTAAGCCCGAGTGTCCCTTCACCCCTCCTCCCCGCGCCCCTGTCCGTCCTCAAACCCCACTACAGCGACCCCCGCCACCTCGGCACCTGTGTTTACAATGTCCTATATATTTGTGGTTAACAAAGTGAAGGTGGTAACTACTGGTGTCTCAATAAAGTTACGACATTCAAAATAACCAAACTATGTGAAAAATTGGTCTGGGTGTTCTTTGTGGAGGGAGGGCTTTTCCAACAGTTGCTTGTTTTGCTTGGCGTGTTTCAAATCACACCCACCAAGTGTCTCTTACCTACTCAGCAGGAAAAGATGAGCAGGAGCTTGAAGTACCGCATTAGAATGGGAGACTTATTCTGAAAGGGGTAGAAGGTGTGTATGGAGGACATGCAGAAATATAGTATGAACACCAATGTTTTCACACCAAGGGAAGCAGATCTTTTTAATCTTTTTATTATTTTGATGTGTCTTTACTTGTATTCAGCTGTGTGTGACCACTGCTTGGGTGCCCAGCATAGTACACATTTTCAAAACATAAATACTGGGAAACAAGAGCTCTCAAGACACTGCTGACTGGGTTTCAGTAATAGATAGCCCAGCCTTAAAAAAGGATCTCATTTCAACTCGCTCTGTGATAAAAATAAAATTCAAAATGCTACCCTGTGATAATATTTAGATAAAGCTTCCTTCTCATCACTCGAGTACTGGGGTATGTAACGTGCCTGCTATTGTGCAGCTAGAGGACAGTACGCAGAGACACACGATGGTAAACTGGCTGTACCCAGTCCTCCAAACTGGCTCCCTTGGGTACAGCTGAGCACACACACACTGTAGCTTCACATAAGAGTACACCCAAAAGCGCTGATGTACCCACCTGTCCCTTGATTAACCTTTCTTTGGAAAAAGATCTTCCTACAGCCCTAGCTTTTGGGGTGGAAGTGTTTTAGAGATGTCTTAGCAACGGGAGGAGTTAAGAACTGCTGAGACCAAATTGTCAGAAACAAGCATTTACAATGAGTAAGACTTCAGCATTATGAGTTTGTTTGTTTCTTCTAATCATCTGAAATCTGTTTAATTGCTTTCTGGTATTTCAAGCTCTTATGAGTCACGTTTTGAAGCTTCTCCCTGCAGGCATGACATCTACAAACACAATTCTACTATAAAGGTTTTTTTTTTTAAAGTTCACATAATCCCAGAACTCCGGGAGATGAGGCTTTATTTAGCACATCATAGAAGTCAGAAAAATCATATGCCTCAGCACAAATGAAACAACCTCATTCCCCTCCCTCAAAACTCCAGCTGGTCTACAGCTCTGTACAAAATCTCTCTTGCAGTGGTATTTGTCTCATTCTCTTGGGGGGGATAAACATTCCCTCTCCATCTCCCTTTGTCCTCGCAGTAGCTTTCCAGCTCTCTGGCAGGTGCTAGGGGAAGGAATTGCTACCTCCTCTCTGTCTCCAGCTCTCCTTCCTTTCATCATGCTCGTTCTCTCTGTTGCTCTATCTCTATTTCTTGGCCTTTTCAGCCTGCCTGGAAATAGCAGCCTACAAATGAGGCAGGAGCATTAGGGCATCTGTGCCCGTGGGAAGCATCAGGCTGCAGTTGGTAGAGGTAGGTGGGGTGAGCTCAGGGTGGAGCTTGCAATGCCACCCCCTCCACCATCCTTTTCTGTCCATGGTAGGTGCTGAGCAAGTGTAGCAATCTGGCTCTGTCACAGACCCTTCTTTTCTTCCACATCACCTGCTGCAAGCCTTGCCAAAAATCATGACTTTCCTCTCCAGCCCCAGCCTCCATTATTAGCAAAACAAGGCAGAAAAAAAAAAAAAAAATCTCCCTAAATGTATCTCGCTTGCGATCAGTAGAGAAAAAATAACTGATGTGAGGGTTTCTGCTGGCGATCCTGTAATTGCCTCCCATTGTGTAGGATGTCTGAATGTCTACTGCAGCACCATGCTGGGGCTGCCCTGTGCTCCCTGCTCCTCGGGGCAGGGTGTTCAATAACATTCTTCATCTTTTATCCTCCAGCCCAGCAGAATGACCGTGCTTCTCCTTTTTCTGCAGAGAAAACATTTGCAAAAACAGGAAGGCAGTAGTACAGCTTGGCACCAGAAATACCGTGTATATAAAACCTGGCACTGGGACCAGAGAATAACGAGAAGCAATAAATACAAAGAGAGAGAGGGAGAGAGGAATGAGGAATACAGGAGTTTAACACGGAGAGGGAGCTGAAGATTTGGTAGTCATTGAATCAGACAATTCATTTACTGGTGCATGGATGAGTTCAGTGACTGATATCCTGCATTCCTGGGGAGATTTTTGCTGTATGAGAATACAGCATGGTATATAGCTGAATGTCTGGGAGGATTTACTGAAGGTAGGGAGCATAAATAAAACAAAGAACAAATAAGCTCTATCAATACAGCAACAGAAGCTCTGTTGGTGCAGTATTCCATCTAGCACGTACTGCTTAAAGATGCTGGTCTCTGCAAGCAGGTATTCATAAAGCAGGAAATGAGCTTCAGTAGCACTTTCCTTTGGAAGATTGCAAAAGGATGGACAAACATGCATTTAGCATTGTAAGCAGCCTTGCTTGGCAAATCAAACTATTCACTTTTTGCAGACTAAGTAGTTCAGTGCCTTGCTCAACCTTAGGGCAGAAGCTCAGTGACAGAGCCACAGGAATATCCTGAAGCTGGCACAAGTATTTTCACCAACAGAAAATGTTTTGCACCAGGTCAGTTTTCCAGCCCAAATGAGGAAGAAAAAAAAAAGAATAATAAAAAAATGGAATGACAGTGATCAGTGACTATAAGAGCTGAAGTCAGACATTTAAACTAGGAACAGGGCATACAACTACAAAGAGGTGACTAGTCATTGTACAAACAAGGAAAACAGCAGCTTTTCTATCTCACACCTTTAGGAGAGTCGTTTTACTCATTGAAATCATATTCTGCCCTATCACAGACACACGCAGACTCCACTCTTGCTAGTCTCAGAAAGACTTGCGGACATAAGATACAAATGACTCCTAAAACCCCCAGTCCTGCAATGCAATACACGCTGGCAGTCTCTGAGCACGTCCAAAGCCTTGCTGATTTCAGTGGTGTTCTGTGCAAGGACAGGGTCTGCCTGTGCTCATCAAGGTGCATGACTGCAACCTTGAATGTCATTAAATAAGCATAAGCTTTTGCTGCAATGCTGAAAAAGTGACATCGTGTTTTAAAGCAGATAAACTTGCCTGTTGCTTCTCAGCAGCACATACAATGCTGTTCTAGGCAGATTTCTGCAGCACCGGGAATTCTTGGTCCTGGTAAGAAAAACAGATCTTCATTAGCACTAAATCCATCCATCCTACTTTTAATTTTAATGCAGACTCGAGCTCCATTACTAAAATTATTTGTACCCACTCACAGCTTTACCCACAGGAATACTTCAAATGACATTGGTGAAACCAAGCTTATGCATAAAGCTAAACATGTGAAAATTTGTGTGTAGACTGAGATTTTAAATTTAGCATTTTCTTCTATCTTTCACGAATATAGCCTTTAAAAAGTAATTCTGCCTCCGTACCTAAGTCTGCTTGAATGGCTGAATATCTGTGAGTCTTTTCAGCCTGGAGGGAAGGGAAAGGATCTGAAATCTTTGTATATTTGGAAGAAAGAGATGTAACAAAACAATAGACAAAGGATTTACAGGAAAGGGAGCTGGAATCCTCTGGCAGGATCCCCTGCAGCAAAACCCATCGTTCCATAGAATGAGGTTAATTAACTGGCAATTATTTCTGAAGTGCATCTGAATCTAATATATTTGCCACAAAGATGTCATTAAAAGAGTATCAAGTGACTGCTGGAAGTCAAGACTACTTAACACTCATGCCCTCACCACAACTGTGCTGTACGTGACTGCAACTTCAAGTCTCTCGTGCTGGAGCCCCTTCAGCTTGGGTTCACCCAAAGAAATGTGCTCTGTGCCCAGCACCCTGGCGCTGCAGCCTGTCTACCTGTCATCACGCACTTCAGGTCACGCCAGTCACACACCTGGAGGGCTCTTCCACTGACTTGTAATCATAGAATCATAGAAACATAAGGTTGGAAAGGACCTACAAGGTCTTCTAGTCCAACCGTCCGATTACCAACACTACCCACTACCCTACTAAATCGTATCTCATAGCGCCTTGTCCAGGCCCTTCTTAGACACTGTGAGGGACGGTGACTCCACCACTTCCCTGGGCAAAAATAATATAGACTTTTCTTCCTTATAAAATCGTATAAATCATACAAATGCCTCTGCCAGGATGGTAGCTCTTTACAGGCTGTAGAGTTCTAGCAATGGGAATTTCACTCATCAACCACTTGGAAGACAAACACCCCATACGCATCGTCCTTTGATTCCTGTGACCTCCTCCCACTCCAGCAGAGCTGGTTAAGTGGGAACTGCCCCTCCTGGCAGAGTTCACCTCAGCCTCAAAAACACAAAGATAGGTTCTAAAGAGTGAATAAAAGAAGTTGTTTTTGCACGTCTTGTGGGCAGGCAGGCTGGCAGGGCTGCGCAGGAGAGCTGAGGGCAGCCGGTCCCATGGCAGTTGCCCCTACCAAGAACTCCCCAGGTGTTTTTCTGAAGATCGGACCCCAGCAGTTACTCTATGTCAGCAGAACAATGTGCTGCCTGCTCCTGGCACTTTGGGCCAGCTTTTTGATGACCAGAAGGCGCAGAGAGCACGGAGCGGGCTCTGTTCAGCACTGCCAACTACCAGAACAAGAACCAGCGGGCACAACCCGGAGCACAGCAGGCTCCCTTCCACCCCCAGGAACCACTATTTACCGCGTGGGGTGACAGAACTCTACCACAGCCCGCCCAACCACCTCCCCCTGCCCGGAGCCCCGCGCATGGCGGCCTCCCCTCAGCGCCCTCCCCCCGCCACTAGGCGGAGGCCGGGCCGGGGCCGTGGGGAAGGAGGAGGCCGCTGCTGCAAGATGGCGGCGCAGAGGAGGAGCCTGCTGCAGAGTGTGAGTGGCGCCTTCCCCCCTCCCCGCTCCCCGCTCCCGCACTCCCCCAGGTGTGTGCGAGGGGAGACCCGCTCCTCCTGCCCTCCCGGCCCCTCAGCTCCTCAGGGGGGAAGCCCGAAGGGCCGGGGGATGCCGGTGGCGGCGGAGAGGTGCGAGCCCCCCGCCCGCCGCGCTGCCCCCGGTGCCGGCTGGGGG